TAAACTTTAAATTGTCATAACTTACTTGGTAATCAACCAAAAAGGATGGAATTTAGAACGGAGATATACATAAGGGACTCCTACAAAAATGTATGGTCATCATGCATATGCATGCACGTGCATAGAGTTCATCTTATTAAATGAAGCTTACAGAGACTAAGGCACCAAAGGGAGTTGGGGAGCGTTTGGGGAACATCTGTAACGGTTCCCGTTACAATTAGCCCTAGTTACTTTTATGTTTGAATGGCTTTAAATGAATCCTTGAAAACTCACTCCAAAGAACCTGAATCAAACATATTTTGAGAATGAAAATAAACCAGTTCCATTCGAAATACCTAATTAGTGTGAATTTTGCTATTTTTCCTGCATAAATATACACACTTCTTTCCACCAACGTCAGAAAACTATAAAGTGTCCTTTGTGGAAGGTATAGGGAAAAGGTGGGGTGGGGGACTATGTCTTCCTTTGCATTTAATATCTGAATATCGCTGGATCGGCTACTACGTACTAAGATTAGTAGTTTATCACTACACGTTAGAAGAGGCCAGGGGAGGGGGGTCCATGCTTTGCCATAAATTATACGTTCATTACATACAGTTATATCAGCATTAATGGGAACTACAGAACTTGTCTAAAACTAAACTTCAAAATTACATAATTTACTGGACACAGGTATATTTTCTAAAAAAAAAATTTTGCACGTGTATTCGATTTAAAGAACAACGGATATCATTTTTCACTGTCCTCTTATGCTGTCTTTAGTAAGGCCTTTTTAAGAAGCTTTTTTTCTGTTAAATCAATCTTTCCCTATAAATATTAGTAAAATATTAATGTTTCTACCTGTATTTCACTTTTTATCTTGACGTGTGTTTATAAGAACTACATACGCAACACTACACATGGAAATCGTAATGTGAAAATGAAATGAAAAGTGATAAACAACAAGCAATGCACAAGTTTGAAAACATACTTATTTTATTACATTTAAGTCAATCGATAACGATGTATTTACGACATATATTACAAATACCGTTCTGCATACATTAATAATTTTTTTACTGGATTAAACATGATCCAGCGATTGGCTGGATCGCGAAGATAAATATCTGCGAAATTGAGGTGTGCGCGAGTCTCGCGGATATTTCTCGCTCGCCTATGAAAATTGGTTAACAGCTGAGGCCTGTACAACAGACCACACCTTCGCGAGCACTCGCCAAGTTTTTAAAAAATTGTAGTAAAAAGGTCCTTTAGAAAGTGCTTCTTTTCAAGTAGTGTACCGGTTATTAGATCTAGATTTTTAAAATGCTCCAATATCAACTATCTTATGGATCTAAAGCTTCCGCAGCGGAAGTGATATCCAATATTTTTTTATTCCATTCAGTCAGAATTATCATCTTTCTTGTTTTAAATAATTGATAAGTTGACAAGATAAATATCTGATACTAATTACTGCATTTAAAGCCCTAAATTCGTATATGTCTGCAATAGCATAGTCATTCTGTCACTAATTGACATGACGTTACATTACACAAAATTATGTTCCTATTGCATTTTTCTATGAAAACATTGCCAAATTGCAAGACCTTGTTATTAAAAAGTATAATAGATTTTGAAAAAAGAAAAACGGTTATGAAAAGCTTAAAGTCTATCCTATCTATGATAAAAATAACGTTAGTATTTAGCAATAGGCATTTTTTGATGGTTCGTGGACTAAGCTCTTTATCACGAAACATTGACTATGACCTGTTTATCATGAAATGAAATTGGTCATGACGGGTGTGTGTACTTGATCTCATTGCACTGAGAATTCAAACACTGCGTCTTTGACGTCACTGACGTCAGACTGCAGGGTAAAGAAAAACAAATGTGTGGATTGGGCAACTTCACAATATCTAAATGATGGCAAGATCTTTTAATATTTTCTTAATAATAATTTCTAATATAATATTTATTTAAAAAACAATTTTAGAATTTAAAATAAAATTAAACAAGAACTGTTGATTTTAACAATGTTTAACATGTAAATCATCACAGATTATGACGTAATATGTCTTTATAGTCACGTGACATATGTCCTGTCTCCCCTTAAGGGGGCCGACTGTTGTTTTATTGTGTGAAAACTACAATAGCGAAACTCTTCATTTTTACACCAGATATAACTTACTTTAACTTCAGTGTACATGCAAAGTTTGGGGGAAATCTACCGTCCAGGTATTTTTGTGGGACCGTCTCAAAATACGATACATTTACAAAATGATTATATATGAAAATGCCAAGTTTTAGCACTTTAAAGCAAATTATACAAATACTAATAAAAATAAACATTTTGAGTAATACTATATTATACAATATATGTAAGAAACACAAAGTTCTACCGTCTTGTTAGCAGAGGGAGCATCTCAAAATGCAAAAAATTAGCAAAGTTTGCAATTTTTATAGAGCATTACAGAATATGACGTATACAATGGATTCACATGAAAACATAATAAAGATATTAAAGATATTCTCAATTTTCTCTATTTAAATTTCAAGAGCGTATGTTTATTACTTTTTCTTTAATAATATTTATATTACCCCTTTCTTTAAGAGCTACAGATGATCATAACTTCAAAAACAACTGAAAGGACGTCAACCTACCTATCAATGGCAAAATCGGTTAAAAAATCAGTTATATCAAATTCTAATTATATTTTTATACCTTTTATTACTAACTTTTGTTTATTTTTAATAATTAAGCAAAAAAAAGTTGCATTTAAACAGTAATTACGCTTCTTTTTACTATGATGCGCGAAATATTGAGCAATGTAAACTAAAGTCGCCACCCTCACCCCTTAAGTGAGCATTGCCTTTTTGTTTAATAATTTAAGATTCAATATAAGTGTCATTTCCAAAAATATTAATTGAAACCAGGATGAAACATCAATGAGTTTCTTTGAAATTCTTACCAGATTTTGGCAAATAGCAAAGCCCACCAAAATAACGTCAAAAAATACAACGACTTATACGCGAGTATATACGGAAAGTCATAGCTTATGACTTGTGATTTATTGATTGATTGATTGATTGTATATTGTTTAACGTCCCTCTCGATAATTTTTCACACTTGCCGATGGAGAGCTGCAAATTTTGTCCCAAACTTGGCACTCATGACCATTGAGCAGGGAGGGGTCTTTTTCGTGACAGCACCTACTGCGACAAGGGACCTCGGTTAATACCGTCTTATCTGAAGGACCGGTCTCCACGTCCGACAGTGGAATTTGAATCTGCAACGTAAGGATTAACTCCTTACTTCGCGACTTAAGAGCAGACGCTCAGACCACTGCTACACGCGGACGACACTTACAATATGTGTAAGGAAAAGACAATGGGAAAAATCAAAAGGAAGTGTAATAAATAGAAACTTTAATGTTTTGTAGTTGGATATTGAATTTATTTCTCTCGTGAGGCTATATAAGATCTTGTGACGTCTTAATGGCTATCTGGAGTGTAAAAAAAAATCAAACACCTTGATGTGTCTGGTTTTTGATATGTAAAATTAGTCATTTTTAGTTCTTAGAAAGTTCTTGGCATTTTTTGAGAATCCACATATGATGAACATCATTGCAATGAGCAACTGCGGATTTATACCTCACTGGTGTTAAAAAAAAAAAACAAGAGGCCCATGGGCCACATCGCTCACCTGAGCACTTTGACTATAAAAAAAGTAGAAATTGGTTTATTATTAAAAAATTTAAATCCATAAGTACTTTGTAAAAGTTTGGTCGGCCATTGTGGCCCTGCCAAACCCCCGGGGGTCATGATTTGACAAAACTTGAATCTACACTACCTGGGAATGCTTCCATATAAATATGATCAATTATGGCTTTGTAATTCTTGAGAAGAAAATTTTTAAAGAATTTTCCTATATATTTCTATGTAAAACTTTGGTCGACCATTGTGACCCCGCCCTACCCCCGGGGGTCATGATTTGAACATACTTGAATCTACACTACCTGAGGATGCTTCCATATAAATATGGTCAACTATGGCTTTGGTATTCTTGAGAAGAAGATTTTTAAAGAATTTTCCTATATATTTCTATGTAAACTTTAGTCGGCCATTGTGGCCCCGCCCTACCTCCGGGGGACATGATTTGGACAAACTTTAATCTACACCACCTAAGGATGCTTTTATTTAAGTATGATCAATTACGATTTTGTTATTCTTTTTTATTTTTATGTTAACCTCTGGTTGGCCATTGTTGCCCTACCCCAGGGGGTCATGATTTGAACAAACTTGAATCTACACTACCGGAGGATGCTTCCATATAAATATGATCAATTATGGCCTTGTTATTCTTGAGATGAGGATCTTTAAAGAATTTTCTTTTATATTTCGAAATAAAACTTTGGTCGACCATTGTGGCCCCGCCCTACCCCCGGGAGTCACGATTTGAACAAACTTGAATCTACACTACCTGAGGATGTTTCCCAATAAGTTTCATCTTTCCTGGCACAGTGGTTCTGGAGAAGAAGATTTTTAAATTTTCATTAATCCAATTCCCTTTGAATGAGGGCGTGGCCCTTCATTTGGACAAACTTGATTTCCCTTCACCCAAGGATGCTTTGTGGCAAGTTTGGTTGAAATTGGCCCAGTGGTTCTTGAGAAAGAGTCGAAAATGTGAAAAGTTTACAGACAGACAGACGGACAGAATGTGATCAGAAAAGCTCACTTGAGCTAAAAAAGATACAGGACCGGAGATCCACAGTCCCGCCAATTTAACAACATGATCAACTATAAATGTACTTAGAAATAAGTAGAGAAACATCGCATGTTATTGTACAAAATAAATATAAACATTTTTTCATAGGTATCCATGTGGTTCATTTTTTGTTAGGAAAAAGTATTTTGTTAGACATTGTAGAACCTTTGCATTAACAGGCAATTTATCATTAAAAATTTTAGCACCTGAATTTTGTGAAAATTATGTATGAATTTATTATAAATCATTTCGAACTTGCCATTCAATTTTCTTTCAAGTGACAGTTGCTTCACATCACATTGTGCAATGGTAGCATCTTGTCTTTCAGTTTTGGTTTTGATACTTCTTATGTTATTAATAATTTCTTTGCTTTCACTTTCAAGATCTGAAAAAAAAAACTTAACCATATCATGCTTCAAGGATTTATGCACATTGTTTATTTTTATTTGTTGCATAATTCAAGTACTAGTACAATTTTTTTTTTCATTTCATTACGTTTTGAGTTGAATTGTTTGTTTAAAAGGGTATGAAGATAAAAAAAGTTTTACATATAACACAATAACGTAAAACCATATGTTGTATATTTTAGAAGAAATTCGGTCAGAATATGTGATGTTTTAAACTTGCAAATTTCTAAACATTTCTTGAAATTGCTTATAACATACATGTTTTTTTGAAATACAGTTATTTACAGGAAATCGATTCTGACATTTACAACTGGGTCTATATCTATAGTGTAACAATAAAAACACATTATATATTATTGGTACTTGATAGTTTTTATTGAGAATGATGTTTATAATTACCTACCATTCAATTTTCTCTCCATCGATTGTTGCTTTTCTTCATGTTGGTTAATGCTTGCATTTTGTATTTCGTTTTCGACTGCAATACTTGTTATGTTACTTGCTATTTCTTTGCTTTCACTTTCAAGATCTGAAAAAACACTTTACAATATCATGCTTCATAGATGTATGCGCATCTGAGTTGCATTGTTTGTTTGAAAGGGTATGAAGATAAAAAAACGTTTTACATATAATAACAGAATTACGTAAAACCATCTGTTGTATATCTAGAAGAAACTCGGTCAGAATATGTGATGCGTTGGATGTTAAAGTGCCAATTTCTAGACATTTCTTGAAATTGTCTATAACATACACGTTTTGTTGAAAAACAGTTATTTATATGATATCAATTTTGACATTTACAACTGGATCTATGTCTACAGTGTAACAATAAAAACATATTATGTTATAACATATATATATTTGATAGTTTGTATTGAGAATGATATTTACCTACCATTCAATTTTCTCTCCAACGATTGTTGCTTTTCTTCGTGTTGATTAATGCTTGCATTTTGTATTTCGTTTTCGACTGCAATACTGGTTACATTATTTGCTATTTCTTTGCTTTCACTTACAATATCTAAAATGAATATAATTTCCTTGATCAATATGTATTTCAAAACTATATTCTTTTTGTAAAATGTTAAATAAGGTACACTTACAATTATCAAATTCTTATGGAAAATCAAAGATATATTTTCCTTTAGAAGTATAAATGATAAGGTCATTGTCTCGAATTTAGATAACTGACCTTGAAAAACAGTTAAAATTATTATAAAACAAAAGAAGACTTTACATATTTGTATGCCATTGTCCGTAGAAGAGAAAAAAATCAATGATTTAATAGATAATAAACAGTAATCAAGCTTAAAATCCACCTAAACAACACAAATCAAAAGCAGAACAAACATGAGCTTCTTAAAATATTAGAGGAAAGATCAAATGCCACGGAGGAATAAGCATCTGCTGCCGACTCGTCATACCCGCCGTTTGCTCCTTGTCATGATCAGGAAAAAGAAAGGATCCGTCAAAAATACTTTTTAAGTGATGGCCTTACAATTTGTATGAAAAACGTTAGTCAGAATTCTATTTTATGATAATTTATATTTGCTGAAAAAATCAATGGCTTGAACATAGAAATTGCAAAATAAAGACTTCAAACGAGAATGTTAATACTCGCGCTCGATTTGCCTGCCTGCCAATAGACTGTACCACCCTCTTTATGCAGAACACGCTCCTGTTTATCGAATAAACTGAGAGACACAAACCCCACAGGTAGGTATCAATTTATGAAAATTCTGAATTAAATATTGTTATTTACTTACCTTTCAAATTGCTTTCAAATAACTGTTGCTTTATTTCAAGGTTCAAAATGGTGCCATCCTGTCGTTTGTTTTCGATTGCAACGCTGGAAATGTTATCCATAATGTCTTTTTTGTTACCTCCAATATCTTAAATAAACATATTTAAAATCGTTTGCATTAGATTTTCAAAAATACTTTAACCCTTTAACTACCAGAGATTTTGCGATTTTACTGCAAATTGACTAAGAATTTTTGAATAGAAATTTGGACATTTTCTAGTCACTTTTACGTAAAGCAACCTGTATATTTTCTGAAAGGTAAATTCCTAAAGTATTTAATTTTGTAGAGTAAAATGACAATGTGGTTGCCATGGCAACGGATAAGGCCCATAATTGCCAAAATATATGTTTTTCTCCTTTTTACTTCCCAGAAATACAAACAAATTTACAAATAACGCTTCCATAACAGAAGATTTAGTGATACTACTAAAACAAAGCATTAATTGTCAACTAGTTTTAAGTTATACTAGTCAATTTTATTTTTAAGAGGGGTTTGACATAATGTCCGTCATCCGTAAACATGGTAATGCCTTGCGGCATTACAGCTGTCTGAACGTAGTAAGCAATTTTTCAATCGCTTTCCCTCTTACAGCTTTCGATTGATTTCAATAAAGTTTGGTACACTTGTAGAGAACACTTACACAACTTTTTTTTATTTTTCAATGAAAAGTGTTGCCATGGTAACAAAGAATTGAAATTTTGAGAAGGGGACACTTTAAAGATTGTTACGATTTCAACAAAATGTGGAAAACTACACCGCGTATTCAATACCATGCTGCACATTAAAATTACAAATGATGTTACAAAAATTGACATTTATAAAACATTGGTCAAAGGGAGATGCGTGGCGCAGTGGTTAGAGCGTCTGCTCTAGAGTCGCGAAGCAAGGAGTCAATCCTTACGTCGAGGGTTCGAATCCCACTGTGGGACGTGGAGACCGGTCCTTCGGATGAGACCGTATAAACCGGGATCCCGTGTCGCAGTAGGTGCTGGCATAAAAAAGATCCCTCACTGCTCAAAGGCCCTAAGTGCCGAGCACGAGCATAGGACAAAATTTGTAGCCCTCCACCGGCAAATGGTGGCGTCTCCATATGAGTGAAAAATTCTCGAGAGGGTCGTTAAACAACATACAATCAATCAATCAAAGGGAGATGAGGAAGAATATTGGTATAAAGACTATTTAATATTCCTTTGTTAAGTCGTTAGTGTTGATTTGATGTCATCATCATCAGATTCATAAAAGATAATATCTCGTCTTATATACCATTTTTTCTTCTTAGAAGAAAACTATATGTCTAAGATTAATTGATTGTATGTTGTTTTATGTCCCATTCAAAAATGTTTCACTAATATAGAGACGTCACCATATACTGACGAAGGGCTTCAAAGTTTGACCTTTACTCAGTACTCAGGGACATTGAGTAGTGAGGGATCTTTATCATGCCTACGCCTGACTTGACACAGTACCTTGGTTTTTAAGGTCTCATACAACCCAAAACTTTAACGTCAAGTTCCGAGCACATGGCTAAGGAACAGATACTACCCTTTTTATTTCAACTTAGGTCAGTCGCGGTCGAGATTCGAACCCACGACCTCCCTATCACAGAGCGATAGGTACCGTGAACGGTGCGAAATGTTTTAGATGCACGTGTACATGTGTAATATCTAGTCATTTTTGACCCCCCCCCCCAATTTACTAGAGTATTATCATAGAATAAAATTACTTGTCTGCAGGTTCCAGAAGTCTGAATATTAGATTTCTCAACAATATGTACTCGAACATACAATATCACTAGCTCATCAATAAGTTTAAATGACTCCCATAGGGCCATGGAAAAGCACTACACACACTGCCTTTCGATTCCTTAATATGTTGTCAAATTGTTAATTGTTCTTAATTACAACTCTTCTATAAGGGGCGGCCCCGTGGGGATCTGCGTTAGAATAGGTCCTTAGTACCCCCTTGCTTGTCGTAAAAGGCGACTAAATGGGGCGGTCCTTCGGATGAGACCGAATAAACCGAGGCCCCGTGTCACAGCAGGTGTGGCACGATAAAGATCCTTCCCTGCTCAAAGGCCGTAAGTGCCGAGCATAAGCCTAAATTTGCAGCCCTTCACTGGCAATGGTGACGTCTCCATATCAGTGAAATATTCTGGAGAGGAACGTTAAACAGTATACAATCAATCAATCAATCTGTAAGGGGCGAGAAATGTTCATCCATTGATACATCACCAGACTTTAAAATAGTACAAATGTAAAATAATATACATTTATTGACTGAGTTCGATGGCAATATACGTTTTGTTGAACCCAAGAACCAAACTGTCTGCCTGAGGCCGTTAGGTCGAAGGGAGACAATTTGATTCGAGGGTTGACAAAACACATTTTGCCTGAGAATTTTTTTAGCTCACCTGAGCCAAATTAAGGCTCAAGTGAGCTTTGTCTGGCGTCCGTCTATCTGTCTGTCTAGCTATTTGCCCGTCTGTCTGTCTGTAAACTTTTCACATTTTCAACTTCTTCTCAATTTCAACTTAACTTGCCACAAAGCATCCTTGGGTGAAGGGGATTCAAGTTTGTTCAAATGAAGGGTCACGTCCTCATTCAAGGGAAGATAATTTGGAATTAATGAAAATTTGGTGGTATGTTTTAAAAATCTTCTTCTCAAGAACCAATGTGCCCGGAAAGATGAAACTTATGGGGAAACATACTCAGGTTGTGTAAATTCAAGTTTGTTCAAATCATGACCCCCGGGGGTAGGGCAGGGCCACAATGGCCAATCAAAGTTTAACATGGACATATATAGGAAAATTCTTTAAAAATCATCTTCTCAAGAATAGCAAAGCCATGATTGGTCATGAGACTACTTTTAGATTTAAATTTATCAATAATTAACCAATTTCTACTTTTTCCTAGCTCTATTTGCTTATGTGAGCAATGTGGCCCATTGGCCTCTTGTTTTACGTGTATGTATTTTGTACTGCCTTTCATGATGTAACAATAGGTCCGTCACTTTTGAACACCAACAAATGAAAATGAGATTAAGTTCCGCCCGTTCTGTTGCCTAAGTGGTCCAACATGTCACTCTGAATCAGCGGTCCAACTTCAATTTTTTTTATATCCGCTCAGCAAAACAATAGAAATGTTAGACACTTTTCCGTATAAATTTGTATAATAATTTTTAAAAAGTATAACAAAATATTTATATTTTTCTGCAAAGATACCCCTCGTGTGAATAAAATTGTGGAGATTTTTAGGCATAATTTCTGGATAATTCTGATTAAACTTTCATTAACTTATTTCCATAACATTTTAAAAACCAGAGGCGACTTTGAAATTCAATAGCGCATTTTAATATTTTTGTGCAATCATCTGGCACAGACTATATACTAGCTCGGTTTTATTTATTTTTTGTAACAGTTTATTAATCAACTTTCTAAGCTTCCTCAATGCACATACTTGTAATCCATGCTAATCTGTAAAGGACTATTCAACGAAGGAATTTTTTTTAGTTAATCCCAAGTTTTCTAATGACTTGTTTTTAACTCTGTGTGGCCTGAAAAAAAATATTTAGATACAGTTCCTGGAAGTATGTTATAGACAAACTGTTTTATATGTTATATAATCAAAATAATGTAAAACTTTTGCATCGTGATTTGATTATAACGACCTACAGCACATGTATCATCACAAGACTTTGGAGCTTTTTACTGGTCTACAAATGAAATGAAAAAAGGCAAAGACAACGACAAGTCATTGATTTAAAAAAAATCCAGAGATAGGATTAGGTGCCTATAGGAGGAGTAAACATTCCCTTCAGACCGGTCACACTGTGAGCCCTTTGTAATAATTAGGTATAGATGGAACGCCCCTTAGCCATATTTAGTGCTAAATCAAAGGCTTAACTGGGCCTAAATATTAATTATAATTATACCTGCAAAACTGACTGGAAAAAAGAAGTAATCAAACCTTCATACTGTGTTAAATATTAGAAATTATCCATTTAAAAAAAAATGAATCTTAGTATTGTACACATGATTCTGAATTTAGATCACAACTCCAAACGTACTAAATAAACACCAATTCTCGTCTGACCCCCCCCCCCCCCCCAATACGAGTTTGCATCTGTTTGAGTTTGTTTGGGTCATGCTCTCGATCATGCATAGTTTATGATTTGTAAAATGATAACGATAATATTGAATTATTTCAGATGAATTGCTCCTTCTATGTACAGGAATGACAAATTCGACAGGGGTTTCTGAAACAAGGGGTGTGCGCAATCATGGCGCTGAGCCAATGACTATTACTACATTTACATATATATCTCTCAAAGTTATGGACTTTTCTATGTATATTGCTCAGATCATGTCGAACAATAACTCTTCTTTAAGAATAATTCATTTAATAAAAAAATAAATTTGTTCCAAGTATCAAAAGAATCAGTTTTTTTTACATTGCATTCATAAACAAATTCATTGTACACGTAAAACGTCAAATGACGTCATAGTGCATTTTGAGTGTTTTACTCGTAAAAGATCCAATACTCAACAACAAATATCTCTGTAACGGATGCGTGTACCTTACAACGTCCACCATAAAAATTGTAGGGAAAGTTCCAAACTTTTGGGTTATGGCATTTATTTTAATTTTATTTTGTGTTGTTATTTAGATAAAGCCAACAGAAAATAGCACAAAATCAGTCATTTTATAGCAATTTTCTCAACTTCCTGGTAGGATATGCAATATTCAGGTCAGGTTTACGATAATTTCCTAATATCAAATAGAAAAACTTTGTGTAGCAAAATTGTTCAGTTTCTTCTTTAGTTTAAGAAAATATCAATTGTTTTGTGGTATCCCAATTATTAACAAAACGCCAACAGTTTAATATCTGTGATGGTGAAAGTGCGTCCAAATGCGTCTCTGGGGGTAAAAGGGTTAATGAGAAATTTGAATATAGAGAAATTCGGTTGGACTGACGTTAGTTCATTCCCGAGCAAATCATCAGAAGCTCAAATGTATATATTTATTCTTATTTGATTAAAATACTTTGTTCCTTATTTCATTGTGCTCATGAAAGTTGGAATATATGCTTTAACGTTTGTTCTGAAAGGTTAGTTCTAAAAGCTTGCCGACCATGTCAGTCTTCGCTATACTATCTTCAATGAATTAAAAAGGACTCATTTTTTTCTGTAAAACTATTTTTCTTATTGATGTTTGAATATCTTTCTTTGTGATTAAAAAGAGTCAAGTAATTCAATTTTAAGAAATCAACATGTTTTGTAACAATGGTCCAACATTAGAAACATAGAAAAATCAAAAACATAGCGTCACGAGTTTCTTAAAAATAGTACTAGTATATCAATACATTTCACCAATATGGCCCAATACAAGTGCCTTCAAAAATAATTTCTCTATATTTTGAAAAGTAAATTGCTAAAAAAATTTCCAGTACAATGTAGCATACTTTTGTCTCTGGATTTTTCTGGATGTTATATTTTATACTGCGTAAGTATGCTTTCACAAGATCGGCAACTGTGAAGCACGTTATCCCTTACTAATTTAAAAAATAGAAAAATGGTATAGATAATGCGTTTTCTCAAAGATTGTCCCAGTCGGATACAGAGCATCTATTATTCAAAATTTGCCTGTGGTTTGTATACACATATGCATGACAAGCATTTGACATATTCCCCGCTGTTCAAGCATTTGCAGAGTTCTATCCTGAATTTTTCAGCATATATAACATTTTTCGGTTAACAGCGTCAAAGAGACGTTTTACGACGTCATCTTTTTTTTCAATGAGGACTACATGACCTCTTAAGATGATTTTTTTTCTTCACCGAAGCAAAGTATTGCGGGATAATTTTGAATATGCAACGATGTAAAAAAAAAAATTATTGTGATAGTCTACCATTTTATTCGCTTCTTTGCGCCTTTTTACAGAGGATATGACAAAAGACATTATTTTGTGTATTAATTGTAAATATCTTAATTTAGAACTTTTCTGCGATCCGATTTTCGCATTATTTTTTTTTTCTTTTTGGAATCTGGATCAATTTGAAATTAATCACGATTCTTAAACAAAATTTTAAATACACGTCATTCAAGCCTATTATTAAAATATTTCTGTCAAATTTGAATATTCATGTAATATGAAGTTAATTTGAAAAAAATATGACAGTAGTCGGCGATATTTCCGAACAATTCTTTTTATTAAAGGTGTAATTTTTACAGGAAACAGCTTTACTATACATAAGGAACTTACCATTTGGCATTTTCTTATTTATGGCATTAAGTTCTCCTCCGATTTTTTCCATTTTGGTGGACTGGTCTTTCACAAGTTGCTCCAAAACTTTTAAAAGATTTTTAAGAAGACTCAATTCCTCTCGTCTAGAAGAATATTTTGTGACAGAAAACTCACCAGAAACCGTCATAGATATCATAAGAAGAAGCATCCAAGGGCAAAATGTTTTGTGGTTCCCCATTTCAACGAAATATTCTAAACCAGGGCACTCTAAAACGACATGAATCGTAGATAAGCATGACAATTGCAATATGTGAAATCTAAAACATCTACGTTCACGCGCTGTAATTAATAAAAATAAATAACTAAATAAAAACAGGCGCGAACAAGTATTTCTAAATAAAATTTCTATCTCGTTTTAATTTACGTAAAATGTCATTGTATATTTAACTCCTGGAAACAAAGTTAATCTCGAAATGAAATGCAGTTAATAAAAATGATATCTGAATGTATTCTGAGTAATTTCACAAAAGTATTCAATGAATCAGAACACCAATTCTTATTTTTAAGGACATACTTACAAACAAAATAAAAGGAAGCAGGGTTTGGTATATATTTTGAGACTTATTTTGGATACAACAAATATCCGAATATCATTCGGAATTTCAGAAGAATGTATCTTTGACATTGATATCTTTTTGAGAGAATTTGTTAACCAGAAGAAACAATAGAATACTAAAATAATGAATTTCAGCTTAATAAAGATACGGCGAGTGTCTCTCAGGAGAATTCTCGGCTAAAAAACAAAATCAAATCGTTTAGGGTGTCATTCATTCATAACATTTTTTTTCAAAATCAATTAAACCTATCGGGTTTGAGACAATTATTTTAATCAAGAAAATGAAAATTATTAACTAAGTTCAATTTACAATTGTAAGGATGAAGGAGTACATTGTCCTATAATCCAACTGGGATATGAAAGTGTTATACTTTTCTGCCTGGATAAACAAACCTGTTACATATGTTAATCGGATTAATAACAGTGTAAGCTACCAGGATGTTTATCTATCTCTGGACGGCGATATAGGATACTTAATGGAACATTGCTAAAACTTATCTTAACATTATATTAACCTTTGCACAATACCGGGACATAGAACTGAAACTTTTTATAGTTTATGTTTAAATTACAATTTATTTTATAAAATTCCAGGATTTTGTCAAATATTCATTTTATAACTTGTTTACTCAAATCTGACTTGTTTGTTCCATGTGTAAATGAGTATTACGTATTGTACGTTATATGAATATGAACTCTGTATGGGACTTGTTGGAGCAGCACTCTGCACTCCCTGGAGCGGGGCTCTTCGAAGTGACATTCTAATAGAGATACTATACGATCAGGGTCCACTATATGATCAGCAACTCTGTTATATTACATATCACTTTCAGTACTTAAAATAAACTCTTTGAAAAAGACTATTTTTTATCATTAGCTTTCAATCATCCATTACATGTAAACAAATCATAAGCTTCACAAATTAGGGAGTAGAAAGCAACACAATAGATCTTTCAATTTCTTAACTACAAAATGATCATAAATATGCAGATACAAGTCCGGTTTACCTGCAATAAGAAATAAACTGACAAAAAGATTAAATTGCCAAGGACGGACTACTTTTTCATCAAATAATCCATCAAAGCTAGATACACTTTTTCATTTCTCTACTCAATGCCTTTGACATGCAAGGAAATGAAATTTAATGATTTTTTGAAAACCATTTCAGCAATTTAATATTTTTAAAGGAAAATCACATCTTCAAGAGAAGCTAAAATTTCCCATCATTGTATATCTCCACCTTTTCCCACTGGGAATTAATCCTTAAATTGGAATCAGAATAGGTTTTCTATTTAACGGAGGATCTACAATTTTTCGGGAAATCTATGTAGTTTATGTTTTGATATCGCCAGGCGGAAAATCAGACTTATTTCAGGTGTATATACAGCTGTATTTCAAACACGAATTATTCAAGGAAACTATTTTCTTTATATGTAACAAATGGCATTTGATACGTATAATTCTTGAGTGACACAAATGATGCTTTGTGTAACTTTTTGCAATGCACATGGAATGTTGAAAAATCTATTGTGTTAGAAATAAAAATCATTAAGCTATTTAAAAATGTATCAAACTATTTGAAATTTGATAATGAAAACATTTGTTTAAAAGATTTTATGCTTAACAATTACGGTAAGTGATATCTCTTGATATTATAGAGCTTCTCGTATTATTTTTAAATTAAATGCAAAAGAAAATCTAACCGTCGAGCTAAATTTATTCCATACGCTAATTCTACTACAAAAGTCTTCCGAATACTAACACATTGATGACACTTGTAATGAAATAAATATAGATTAACAAATGTGTTCAGGAGAATTTTTTACCTTATTTGCTTTCAAAAACATATCTACCGTTTTTTTTTATTTTGTTATAATATGAAGAAACAATGTTTTTGTGTGTTGTCATGGTCATTCCCGTATAGATTCGGCATAGCCTCATTATTGTAGCCTTAACGCATCACGCGTACCGTGTTCTTAATTTGTTGCAATATATCAGGTTTAAATTATGCTTGCATTTTTTTGGGGGTATTATATATAATTAATACAATTTTCTCAAAGAACCTTTCGAAATTTTGAAGAATGTACAATCAAGGAAATTCCAAGATTAGATGCCTAGGAAGAGAAAACATCCCCTGTTGACTTGCGCATTCTAATTTTCAGATCTTTTATTTATAATTAAACTATGTAATTTATGATTTTATTTTTAGGTAGCCTTTTTGTTTGTTGACGAACTCACCAGACTGTTTTTAAGATATCACGAAAATAAAAGAAAAATTTTATAAGAGGAAAATTGCAACGAAGCACAGAACAACCCTTAACTGTTTTTAAGTGGTTAACTTGCAATAAGAAATAAGTTGTTAAAAACACTCCATTTCCAAATACTTTTCCGTTTTCCACTTGATGCGTAAGGCAGGCGACAAAATAGAATTAGAAAAAAATATTTGAATTTTATTTAAACATTTTTTTATGTGTGTACATGGAAAATTGACATCAATATAAAATAGTTACACATTTCCTGAGGTTATTGTGAACATCAATTTTAAATATAATTTTTCGTCCTTGGATTCAAAAGAGATTTTTCTAGTTGAAATAATTTTCTGGGATATCTGTATAGTTTTGCTATGTTATAATGTGACAAGTATTTTATTAATAATACTTATTGGTTAAATTATTTTAAAGTACACCTATAACCATACTGAATATTAAAAGAATTTACAATTTTTGACTGAATATATTCTGTTCCTCGATCTTGTTTAGAAGACATCCCCCTTTTGTAATAAAACACTACAACTCTGAATTAATATGAAGAGAGAACACTTTGTTTTCCTACATAATAATGTTTACTTAAGTAACACTAACGTTGTTTTGAATGCTTTTGCGAAATGCACATGAATACTGACGTTAAAAAAGGGGGGGAAAGATTATTTACACTTTTTAAAATTTGATGAGGATAGCAACTGTTTAAAAGTCAATTTCTGCTTAACATTTCACGTAATATTTTAAACTAAATGCAAACAAAAATCCTACCTGTAGAATTAAATTAATTCCATACACTGGCTATCTATCTCTTGCTTTTAATGTTACTAACGGAATCATAACACTTGTAATATAATATAAAGCTTTATGCAATCAGGAACAATTTTCAACACAATTGCTTTCAGGAACATGTCTTTCAAGTTTTGAAAAGCTTCTACTTACTATAAAGGAGTCACTTTGAACAGAAGCACGTAAAACATTTTTTTTTCTTTCTACATATGAAGATTTATACTCATGAAAATAAGCACTCAAACATAGAGTACAAATGGAGAAGGTTTATATTCTTTTACCCTTACAGAAGATTAATTTTTTTATGTTTGCTAATTCGTTTTTTAAGACTTTTAGTAGTATTTTTAAAGAAAGTATTCATAGCTTTCATATAATTTTCTGAGTGAGGTTCTGATGGTCAAGGTATAGCCTGAAGGATAAAATTGAAAAGGTATGTTTATTTTAAAAACGGACAAAACACATAGCGATCATCCCATATCTGTTTAAAACTAATGTTTTCTGTTTAAATTAGCATCATTTATATTGAACATATTTGTAATACAAGTGTTAATAAATGTCATATATTTAAATTAATCTGCAAATGTTTAGAACATATTAAATTTACATCATGTTCAAAGTTTTCCTAACCTATAAAACATCTTTGAAACATTTCAATGATCAATGTCTAGAGAAGAAAAATTCTTGTAAATGAGTATGTTATATTGTCATCAAATTCTACATTGACATCAAACAGTTATCTGTAATGTAAATAAAATAACAACTACTGTAAACGAAAATACTTCTTGATACATAATGCAACACAAATAAAGAGCGGCAATTCGGACAAGCAATTTGGCAATGCCAATGCAATTTAAATTTGTGAAATGCACTAAAACGTATGCCATCTGTATAAAGGATTGTAACCAAGAAAGTAATAGTTGATAAATTTACATGGAAGTATATCACTGAGTATGTATAAGAGTATCCTTCTTAACTTGTCTTTAAAACCAAATGTAAGAGTTATTACCCTTGAGATACACCGTTATATTTCCATTTCTAAATTTTTTCTCTATAATAACCCTTTGAAAGTAAGCGGAGTTGATTTCCTGATAATTCTCCCGGAATGTAAATTAGGCAGATCGATAGGTCAGCAGCTAAGGAGGCCTAATACGCATGCAAATCTCGTGCGCATCTGTCTCTGTGTCTGACGCTAGGAGGCCAAATATGCATGTAAATCTCGTGCGTCTGCCTTTGTGTTTGACGTCAGTGTGCGAGGACTATTGAAATTGGCATGGAAGTCCTCGTGTAATTTAAATCGACTAGTCTACATTCTTAATGTCTAAGTCTACAATTTTATTTCACAATGAAATGGAAATATAAGGAATCACTGTCTAGTTTTGAGAGTATGCCAGGGACATCAACAATAGTGGGAAACATGGGATAATTTTAGCATAACGGGCTGGTATGAAAGACTTTGTGTGAATGAGGTTGTTGTTATTTTTAAACACTAGACGGACAGTCACATGACTTTATCCCATTCACTGAATTCCCGCTTGCACGAACTAACATCGGGCACTCTGAGCCTAGCCGTTGAACTGGTTAGATGTCACAAATATTACTATCTGTATATTAATGATAATAGAGTACTATTATCATTAATATACAGATAGTAATATTTGTGAATTCCCGTGTGTGTCCCGGTAAGATTCTATTCTAAAGTAAAGTCTATTATGTTTTAATTATCTGTCTAAATGTCTGTCTATTTGTCGTCTATATGTTGTGTGTAATTGTAATATCACAGGTTTTTTGAGGTTTATATCATCGTAAATAAATTATTGAACCCATACCAGATGTTTTCATTTCTGATGTACTACCACTGGCTACATAATGATTGTATACTGTTTCACGTCCCTCTCCAGAATATTTCACTGATATGGAGACGTCACCATTGCCGGTGAAGGGCTGCAAATTTAGGTCTATGCTTGGCACTTACGGCCTTTGAGCAGGGAGGGATCTTTATCGTGCCACATATAAAATATTCCCAGACAAAAATCTATTCAGTATTTCTGATCACAAGCAGCCTTCAACAAAATATTCCCTTCGAAATAAAATTCTTAGCCTTACGAATTCGAAGCGTAACCGCCTTTCAAGCCGATTTACACCTTGCGTACTTTTAACGAAAATCTACAGCGACCAGTTAGTGCAGTATTTATCTCCGAATACATTTTATCTAATATTTAATTGTCCATCTCACATGTATTTATAAGTAATTAATAACAAGTTTTTAAACGTGTCCAAATCTTCTGAGAAGGCATGCGACTATTTTGAAGGAATGCAAAAATCCTAAAAAAATTCTTCAGTTAAAGACAAAATAGTATAATATCTTGACGAAATATGTCCAAGTCAAAGATGTGTTAAAGATTGTGTGTACATTTTGTGATGTCTGTTATGAAATGATGTGCATTTCTGTTCATAATTATTTGTTAATTATTCACGTGTATTTTTAATGATTGTTGTTTTTAACAGTTTTTCTCTAAAATATGATCTTTATAAAATAAAAAAAAAAACAGTTCTTTATAAATATTCTTATTCTAAATCTGAGCGTAATCCCCAAACAATAATTAAATCCTATGTAAGAGCAAAAAGATCAAGAAAAGTAGCATTGGTAAATAACCTATCTCTCATTAGTTTGCAGGGAAAATTATATATTTAATCACTTTTTGTAATGATTTTGGTATGTTCTTTTCATATTAAAGAATGAAAACATTCTGACAAAGACTTCTCAAAATATTTACAAATTTGGGGTGGAAAATGGGCAAAAAAAAAAATAGAGTTCATTTGCCGATATCTTTTTTTAGAATGGGGACATCATCTTTTATGTCAATTGAATAAGAAAAGTATCATTCTTGAGTAATATTGCTTTAATCTGTTCAGTTGATAGAGTCTATCAATGACAAATGAATGTTTAAAGAATTTTTTTTTTCATATTCTTTCTATTATAAGTACATCTAAAAATTACTGAAGTGGTGAAGTCGCAGTATATAACTTCCATCCCAAGTTTCACAGGCTGCATTACACTTAATAACAAGGAAACATGTCATGAGCTTTTACTTTTTGATAAGCGAGTGCTAATTTATCATTTCAAAAAGTTTGCAAATTTTGTTACAAAGACTTTTCCCACATAGGGTCTACCTTAAGAATAAGGTACGCTGATTTATTTTTATTATCTTTGCTATAATGAAAATATACAATCCCGATTAACCCTTTCTCTGTCCTTCTGAACAAAAAGATGAAAAAGTTCCGATTTATGCTACATACGTTGAAACATAACTTGTGTTTTTATGCAAATTTGTAGTCTGTAGTACTAGTGTTTCAAGAATCGTTTTATTGACATGAATTGTTGTGTTGAAAATTATTCGATTGTATGTACCAAATGTTTAAAAAAAAATGATAAAAGTTTTGTGCAAAAATGTGGATTAATTTTTTCTGCGACAAGAATCAGTATTCTAGCTGCACTCTTCATGACGGAGAGATTTATTACAAAATTATGTTAATTTTTACCAAGATAAGTTATCCCCGTGGTAGTATTGAACTTTTTACTTTTTTAATTTCCTTGTATTAGTGAGTCCTTAGCACGATATTGCGAACCTTTGCTTCTAAGAGAAGCTGAGGGCCAAGTTTAGGTCTTCATTGGTTTGTAAAATAATCTCGCAGAAGACGTAAAAACAACGAATAAACAGACAGTCAATTACTTAAAAGTATACCCTCTAAAAAAGACAAAGAGTGAACACGGACAAAAGTCCATTGAAGCAATGACAAAACAGACCTCTGGTAAGAGAGAGAATCAGATGTCATTAAGGAATGAACATCCCCTGACAACCGATTACATCCGCGTTTTACTCTTTCTTATGATATTGTAAAAGATAAATCCGTAAATAACTGAGTAACAAAGGGATTATCAATTTGTGTCAAAAAATCATTCAGTAAATATTCGACCTAAGGACAAATTGTATTTGCAAAATAGTCCATCGTATCGACCATAGAAATTTCAATTAATTTTCGGAAGACTTCGTTTACGAAAACCACACAGATGTCGATAATGAGAAACCTGAGCATCTTTTATAAAACTTTATTTCTTCTCTTTACGAAAGCACATAGATGTTTATAATGAGAAACTTAAGCATCATATATAATAAATCTTTATTTCTTCTCTTAATTGCTATTTCCTTTTGTGTAACACATTGGTTAGAAAGTTTTTCTGGGATCGCGGAGCAAGGAATTGATCCTTAAGTTATGGCTTCGAATCCCACTGCGGTTCGAAGAGATTGGTCTTTAGGAAAAGACCGTATGAACTGACGTAAAGTGTCGAGTTGTAGTTGGTACAGGAACGAAAAAGAAAACTCACTACCTTTAAGAGCAATTTAAGAGCCACTTTGCAGCCCTCCACTTGCAAGTGGTGGCGTCTCTAAGTGAGTAAACAGTTCTCGAAGGGAAAGTTAAACAAAGAACTTTATCTTTATATGTTATCCCAATTTTTCAAAGTTTATTTAAGGAATGTTTTTAAGGTTTGTGTGAGTTATTGGTGTGTGAAGCATACAGACTTGTCACGTAGGCATATTTCATGAAGCGCGGTAGCGCTTCATGAAAAATATCCCTACGTGCAAGTCTGTGTGATTCTCACACCAATAATTCACAAGTAACTTAAAAACATTCCTAATATTTACATCTTACATGTTTGGAAGCACCGAAAATATACTCAATATTTGAATTTCTCGCTGCCCTATATTGTTATACTTTTACTAACGTCACTGTAGCTCTATTGTGACGTCACGGTAACACACTTTTCTCCGTGTATATTTCTACGCGTGAGTATACACAAAAATGATTTTCAAATCAATTTCACAGTTGGCTTAGTAGAAAAACACAGCGAATGTAAATATTTTTTGATATCCAACAAATCATTGTTTTCTATGGAATTTTTTACTCGAATGGTCTGAAATAGTTCCGAATTGCAATCTTAAATTACAGCTAA